TGGCCGGGGCTAAACAAGACTTCGCACTGAACAGTGGTTAGAGTGTGGCTTATATAGGTGGCGTGGGTCGTTAACGTGATTCAGATCAGGTGTCTGCACAATCAGTCTAAGTGGATGATGTAATGCTAGAAGTCCGGGGATGGTGGCCTCTGCTGACCAGCGAGGGGAATGACTGGCACCGAGTCGGTGACAGAGCCCCCCTCCAACGAACGGCTCCTGAAGTGAGAAGAATCCCGACGCCGGGGTCTTCCATGGGGGCGAGGGGCCGGCATCTCCGGATGTTGCAAGTGGAACTCATTCAACAGAGTTGGGTCGAGAATGTCCTTACGGTTGATCCAAGATCTTTCCTCCGGGCCGTACCCCTCCCAGTCGATGAGATACTGAAGTTGTCCGCCCCGGCGTCTGGATCTCAAGATCTCGTGGATCCGGTAAGCCTCTTCTCCGTCGACCACTGTCTCCGTTAGAGTGTGGCTTATATAGGTGGCGTGGGTCGTTAACGTGATTCAGATCAGGTGTCTGCACAATCAGTCTAAGTGGATGATGTAATGCTAGAAGTCCGGGGATGGCGGCCTCTGCTGACCAGCGGTGACAAGGACTGCCCGGTGGCCCGGGGTCGGCCTTAAAAGAAGCTCGGGACAGTTGACAGGATTGTTACTGGCCCCTATTGGCCAGTAACGAGCACGTGATTTTTTTCCATGACCTGGTCACAACAAGTACAGCGAAAAAATGGCAACATGGCAGCAACATAAAACTTATGAGGCTAAAAGAAAATGTCTGTTTCTAAAGTATTACAAGCAGACAATTACATGTGTAAAAAATTAAGAAACTGGAAAAATAACAATAAAAAGCATTTTTATAAAAAATAATTAAGAATTGCAATAAAATACCAGCACATTTTTCATACTGCTCTTTCGTTTGCATAAAATCTTAAATTTTGCTCATTATACATTTATTAACATTTTTAAAATTTTAAAATTCTAGATTCATTCATTAATTTTCTTGTTGGCTTACCCTCTTTATTAATCCGGGGTTGCCACAGCGGAATAAACCGCCAACTTATCCAGCACATTTTTTATGCAGCGGATGCCCTTCCAGCTGCAACCCATCTCTGGGAAACATCCATCCACACACACACACACACTCATACACTACGAACAATTTAGCCTACCCAATTCACCCGTACCACATGTCTTTGGACTGTGGGGGAAATCAGAGCACCTGGAGGAAACCCACATGCGGCAAGAAATGCTGAGGCTCAAACTAGCGACCTTGTTGCTGTGAGGCGTCAGTACTACCTACTGCGGCACGGTCATCTAAATTCTAGATTCACAGACAATATTATATAAGTAATAGCTATTAGCTTTTTTTTTTTTTTTTTTTTTTTTTGGTGGGGCCAGTGAAAATTTTGGCAGGGCAAGTAAAAATCTCAACCACTGGCCTGATCGGCCCAGTAGAAAAAATCCTTAGCGTTAAACCCTGTATATATGTATGTATATATATATATATAGGCTCTTGTATAGTAAATAAGTTAATATTGTTCTATCATAAAGTTTTGAATTAAACTTTGGATTTGGATAAAACAACTTAAATACAAATGGATTTGCATTGAAAATCATGAGCTAAAGGAGTTTCAAACCATTTTGAACACACAGATGAGCTTTTGTGCAAAATAAACTTTAAGATGCCTTTAAAAAAGTGTCAAAGTACTTTTAAAAACAAAAAAGTAAATCCCCAATAGGTGGCAGCAAGAGGCCGCTTTATTTGAGTGAAACATTGAGCGATTCATTCAGCCCGTGAAGCGAATAGGATGATCGGACTGTTGAATCAATCACTGAATCATCGACTCACCCGAATCTTCTTTGCGAAGGCCTGAATCGTTCGTCTTTGGAAACGCTGTTATTCATGTTATACATCATAGTTATGGTCAACTGTTCTGCTATTTTTATATTAATCATTATAGTTATTTTTAGCAATGTTTTTACTTATTAAGAAGAAAACAATTATGTGTTTTAAATAAATAATCTGGTTATATGAAGACTCCTGGTCTGTCCCTGGTGTTTTAGTCACACAAGCTCCTTTGTTTTGCAGACATCAAGCTGGACGATGGGGTGAATCTTCACCAAGAGGTTTTCCTTCACTCCTCTCACTGGAGCAGTTGTTGAAGGTATTGAACAAATGAATAGCACAATAGCAAAATGCAATGTAAAGCACACAATATACACACACACACACACACACACACATTCTGCTTCTTAGGGAGATTTGAGATTGTTTAAAGGGTTGAGGGTAAAAAAGATTCAAATGTGCAAATGCCTGTGAAACAGACTGAGAATCTGGCTGAGGTAAAGGCGTCAGAGGAGAACAAGCTGAAAGCGGTGATGTACCAGTCCAGCCTGTGCTACTACTCCAGCAGGTGAGCATTCAGATACTGACAGGTTTGCTTTGTGAGAAATGTCTGAGCTGATTCTCATGGTTCTGATATTCACTAGTGAGGCCATAAAGCTGGTTGGGATCCCGGGACACCACATTAGGCACTGCCCCACTAATGTGGTAACTGGGTTTCCAAGCTCACGGTTGCTGTGAACCTGAGCTCTTGTGCTCATCAGTCAGATTGTTTGCTCAGAGTTTGACTGTCACTCCTCAATTCACAGGACAGTGGCTCTGCTCCGCACAAGCGCATCCGGAAGAGCACAGGGATTCCCCGCAGCTTCCTGTTGGAGGTGGACGACCCAGACCGAAAGGGAGTCATGATAGACGGCAGTGGCAGATACGTTATTCCCATCATAGACGCGTGAGTAAACTGTACTTGGCATAGCCGCATGTTCTAGTTTTTTTCCAAATCTCACATGTTTGCTTGTGTGTGTTTGCGCTCGATCTGTTCAGTGAGGCCTAAGCTGCTGAGAAGAGAAAGAGGCCGTCCTTCTCCTGCCAGACCAAGCCTTTGCCCTCCTCGTCCTCAGCAGGTGCAGCATCTTCGGTCCGGGACGCAGGAGGGAAACGGTCCCGCTCCGCATCTCCACCAGAGACGCGCGGCGACCAGAAGAGACAACGTCGCTGAGAGACCTTCATCCAAGAGACCTGGAGCCAACGTTTAAATATTGTACATAGTTTATTAATAAAAGATAATAAAGATTATAGCTGCATGAACTGTGTGGACTGGTTAACCTTCACTCCAGCAGTGCAACACAGACATCAATAAAGAAAACGATCAACACATTAATATAGAAATGATGAACAAACATGGAGCAGGAGTACCAGTGTACTGTCCTGCACAGAATGTAAACAGGGTGTCTGTGTGTCTTAAAAAGAATTAAAAAGTCTTAAATGCTTTTTTACAAGGTATTAAATTGTGTATCATTTTTGATTCTACAATGTATAGTTGTATGAATTTTTTGAATTGTTGTATGAGTTGTATGAATTTTGTATGAGTTGTTTGCCTGAATTTTATAATATTGGGCTGCTGTGTATTTTTCGAAATCGATCAAATCCTGGAGTTCTTTAGGCGCTAATTAGCATTTTTATTCAGTTTATGAATTATGTTTTAGTTTATGATTAGCTTGTTTTATCGGTACTTAGTAAATATACTGTATATTAAAATGTCGCCAGTCTTACAGGTGAAACTTAAAGTGGCGATGAGGGCTTAACATGTATGGAAAGAGTCTTTAAAAAGTCTTGAAAGTTACTGAATTTCATTCTCTGACTGCTATATACACCCTGGTAAAGCTTTTAGTTGAAGTCTAGTTTAGTGAGTGAAGCTCAGGGAGATCAAACATCTGCTAGTGAAACCCCATAAGTTAGTCGATTTGGGTTTAAACCTATTTTTTAAACAAACCAATGGAGAGTAGGCCGGACCACTTTTTAAATGTGGGCTGGTCAGTTATTTTTTTTTTATTTTTTTTTTATATATTCTTTTTACATGCAGGCAGATTTTATCTCTTGCAAGATGTGGATATGATGATGATAATAGTAATAATAATAAAAAATGTTAGCCCAATCGGCAGTGGTTTTAAGTTTTATGGTTTTGAGATGGGCCGACTCAATCTGACCTAATCAGAGGTTACGCAGACGTAATCAAAATTTGGCTAGAATGTCAAGCAAACAATAAGTGCAACACGAGCTAATTGTCAGAGATGGACGGTAAAAAGGGAAAAGCTGTGCCAAAAAGGTCAGAGAAAGATGCAGTGGCACAGTGGATAGCGCTGTCACTTCACAGCAAGAAAGTTGCTGGTTTGAATCCTGGCTGGGTCAGTTGTCATTTCTGTGTGGAGTTTGCATGTTCCTTCCATGTTGGATAAGGTAGGCTAAATTTTCCGTAGTAAATTTGTGTGTATTCACAAAACATATGCTGTTCATATATAAAACATATGCGGTTCATTTTGCTGTGGCGACCACAGATTAATAAAGGGACTAAGCTGAAAAGAAAATTAATGAATGAATTAAATGTATGTATAAATTTGTTATAAATGGGTTGTTTTTGTTCACATACATTAAATGTTTAAATATCTATTACATATGGTGCTTATATTATTTCACCATCTGTACACCAATATATGTAGTGAATGTGTGTGTCCGTGGGCTGGTGTGGCTACCGTGCCAGGGCAGATTTTTTGTCCCAGTCTGCCCCTGCTTTCCCTTCACCGCGCTGCCCAGACCATTTCTTAATTGTAAATATTCTATTAAATATTATTCTTATTTACAATATTATTTATTTAACAACAAAATTTAATACACAAAGTAGCAATTACAAAAGTTGATATGCAGCAGAAAACGGTTGAGAAAATACTGGATCTATACTTGATCAATTCTCAAACAACCTAAAATAAGTAATTCAATATAAAATAATAAAAAAAACTGAAAAAAATAATTTGACAAGACATCTATAGTAAATATGTTAGTAGCATGTTCTGGACACAATGACTCAGTACTTCATCAACAACTGATACTTGCACTGAAGCCATATTCACCGCTCACAAAGCACTAAATCAGAGCTTGTTTTGGGTAAAACTGGTAAATCAGGTCAAGTAGGTTACATACGTTTGTTGTTTACAGTGGCTGAAATGAGATCTACAGGAAGAATAAAATACACGACATCTTTATTTTAAAGCACAAGAAATTTTTCATGAAGACAATGCTCTTTCTTTTGTATCTGTTGTCATGTTTAACATTCACTGATGCAGGTAAGTTTTGCCTTTTATTCACATTTATTGGTCTCCCAAATACAAACACTTAAAACACTTATTCTCAAGTGTGTTTATCTTATTTCACTGTAAGATTTTCTTTATTATCCGTTACATAAAATATTATTGGGCACTTCCAGTCTACAAAAAGTACATTTATGTGTGTCAGATATGGACCAGGAATAAAAAGAGCCCCTATTAGCTATGGGTTTAAATGAGGTGTGTATGTATGCGAATGCAAAAATTTGAACATTAAAGGTCTGTTTTCTTTAAAAGTCATCGATCTCCACTGGCTGAGTATACGATATAAAGTGGGTCCCAGATTGTACAAAAAGCACTGCATTAAATTACATTTTCCCCCACCATGTCTATATAAAATGAGCATTTATTTTACTCAATGGCGCTTCTGCGCTATCCTGCCGATTCTGATGGGCGTGTGCAAGTAAACGACTTTTTGTCTCGTTTTACGCTTGAGCAACTAAATGAATGACAGAGTCTGTTTGACTGAATGTATTTTAATTATATTACAACATCGATGCTGTAAAGGGAACCGTATAAAATGGGGAAAAATCACAATAAAGGTTAACAGAAGTTTATCAGCATGGGAAAAACACTAGCTCGGCATATACCCTATGACAGCACATTAGCAACATCGAATAAAGTCTTGATAAGAGACTAAATAACATTTAAAAAGGTGAAATATTACTACAATAAAGTAAAAAGTATATATACAAAAAAAAGGACTGTTGCCTCACTGCGACAGCCCTGGTTGGAGCCTCTGGTGGGCCAGTTGGCATTTCTGTGTGGAGTTTTCATGTTTTTCCCAGTGTTCGCGTGGGTTTCCTCTGGGTGCTCTGGTTTCCACAGTCCTAAGACGTGGTATAGGTGAATTGAATAAACTAAATTGGCCGTAGTGTATGAGTGTGTATGAATGAGTGTATGGGTTTTTCCCAGTACTGCATTGTGGCATGCGCTGTTTAAAACATATGTTGGAATAGTTGGTGATTCACTGCGCTGTGGTGACCCCTGATAAATAAGGGACTCAGCCGAATAAATGAATGAATTTGGGCTAAAATTAGTTTAGATTTTGATGCTGAGAAATGTTAATGATGACATCATGTCAATTAGTGTGCTGTCATATGAAGATTTTTTTCCTCTTTAGACTTAAACAACTTGTTTTAAAGATGGACACTTATTTGTTATTTGACATGTTTTTAGCCTATTTGAAAAATGGGAAAGATTTTCTGTTTTTCTACAATGATTAAAATTTTATATATATTTTTTAAATTTGATCTGGTGGTGTGTCCTGAAAAGTGTGAGGCTAGATATTTTATATGACAAAAAAGCTAATTAAAACACACACACTGGATGAAAGACTTTTAGACTAAGAGAATACATAACAAACTACCTGTGTGTTTTCTTGTGAATTTAACTAAATTCAAAACACCTTAAAAAATATAATAATCATAAAAAAACTACTCTATCTGACGTGTCCTTTAAACCTTGAGGGGAAAGAAGATGAAAGGATTACATGGGTATATTACACAAAATCACATACAGTACTTTAGTTTCTTTAGAACTGTTTGCGTTTTCCCCCTTATTTTATTTAAATATCAAATTTTTTTTAGATTTATTTTATTATTGGTTTAGTTTGACTAATATTTATTTGCCTTCATGTATCCACAGGTTTTCACTCACTTCTGGTATTAGCAACATATGTGGATGGACAGACACCATTTCCAGAGTTAAGTGTTGTAGTCATGTTAGATGATGTGCAAATAATTTATTATGACTCAGATACATGGAGGGTTTTCCATCGCAGCCCAAGTGATTCAAAATACTATGATGAAGACCAAAGTGATGCTGATGCTGTATTCCATGATACGTATGATGAAATGAAATACAGAGTCTTGCATCTAAAAAATCAGCTAAATCACACTGATGGTGAGAACGATTAGTATTAAAACAGCACACATTATATTTGATGCAGTCTTTATGTATTTCACTGTGTAACATTTACAATCATTTTACATATACAAATATTTACTTAATATTTTAAGTTGTAATATGTTGAAGTACAATATTTTTCTATTTATTTAAAGGTGTACACATTTTTGTTTTCATTTATAGGTATAACTGTCCTTCAAAGAATTGTTGGATGTGAATTGTTCAATGATAAACCTGGAATCTATCATTTATGGGATGCTCATGATGGAAAAACTATAGAGAAGTTCACCTTTAACATATACAATCATGAATTCCAGCTGAAAAACCAATGGTTTAGAACATGGGACCAAGTTATGATACAACAGAAAAGGATTGTACATGAAAATATTTATTATCCTGTTTGCATTAAAGTTTTAAGAAGGTACCTGAATGTGGAAAAAAACAGTGTGATGAGAAAAGGTGAGAGAATAAGCCTTATTAAATAGATTATTTTATTACTAACAATAAATTTTTGACTGAATAATTTAGGAATCAATATTTCAGAAGTGATTGAGTGATGTGATCAAATCAATCATTCTCATTCTTGTCTGTAGTGAAACCCAGAGTCAGACTCATGAAGAAGAAACTTCCAGATTCTCAAGGGCTTCAGATCAGCTGTCTGGCCACTGGTTTTTACCCGCGTCACATTAACCTGACCCTGTTCAGAGATGCTGAGCCTGTAGATGATGATCAGATCATAGGAGGAGAGATTTTGCCCAATGGAGACGGGATGTACCAGATGAGGAAGAGTTTGATTGTTAGTAAAGAAGAACTGGATGAAGGACATGAATACACCTGCACAATGAAACACCTCAATCTGGACAACAAACTGGACATTGTGTTTGGTAAATAATTTTGTTCAAAACATCAAACTAACAAAACTGTACCGTAAAAAAATAAGATGTTAGATTCAAGACACCTTATTTAATATATGAAGTTTAATGCAACAACGGTTGTTTTTTAACCCCAATTCTAGATGTGTCTGGAACTGTCCCAGGATGCTTCAGTGTGTCTGTGGTGATCAGTGTGCTGGTGTTCATGTGTGTGTCTGTCTTCATCATAACTAAACTCATTATGAGGAGGAAGAGACAAGATACTGGTAACTTTTTCAGTAAATCCAAAAGAAAAGTCAAACTTCAGTTATTTTACACTGTAAAAAAATTTAAGCCAGTACAAAAAAAAAAAAAAACACACAATCCTTACTTCCTTTCACTTTTTCTTGTTCACTCAATTTTTGAAGAAATCAGCTGTACCGGCCTAAAATTATTTGTCAGTAATACAAAAAAAAAAAAAAAAAAAAAACTGTAGTTGGGTTAATTAACATTATTAGTTATTTGGAGAGGTGAACTACTCTGTAACAAAACTTTTAAGTTGTGCTAACTGAACATTTTTGTCGGCAGAACTGGAATGTCTGAAGTTTAGTGAACAAAAAACTCATAATCCTAATTTCCTTTAGTTTTTTCTTGTGTAAACTTTTAAAAAACATTGGTTACATAGTCTGAAGTTGAGTTAACAAAAACTCTTTTGGAAAATAGTTCTAAGAAATAATACATTATCAGAACAAACAAACAAGTTTAATTGAAAAAAAAAGAAAAAAGAAAAATGTTAACAAAACATTTATTAGACACTGAATTAAAAACAGGACAGGACAATAACAATACAAGGATCAAAACATGGACAGGAAAAGTACAGGACAAACGGGGGAAAATGCAGGGAAAAACAAGACTCAGCAAAGAGTCTGTGTGAATGAGATGTCTTTATAGTCCAAGTAATCAGTCCATCATGAGCTTCCATCATGAGCATGTGTGTAATCAGAAGAACCAGAAACTGGTTCCTCCAATTAAATTATAGTTTGAGCATTTGATTTGTCATTTAAATATTACAGGATTTTACTGAGTTGTTTATGAAAATAAATTTCAAACTCATTTGATTTCTCATTTAAGAATGAATTTTGATTTATTATTTGATTGTAATTCTGTTAGGAAAAAAAACTTTACAACAGTTAATACAAATTAACAGTCCAAATTAACAAATTAAGTACAAATTAAAAGCCTTTCTGCAGCTTTCGTCGTTAGAAATACTGCAACCTTTATTTTTTTCAAGTGAGGAGGTCTGAGATTAATTTAACATAAAGTAGCAAGTTGGCAGACGCTTTTTAGGGTGAACTTGCAAAAATTTGCTCTCAAACGAATCTTTTTAACTTAATGAAGAAAATTTTGATTTCGGTTAAGTAAACAGGTTAAATGTAGCTGTTCACACATTTTTACTGAATTTTGCCAAACCAACGAAATAAACAAAAATAAATAAATAAAGTAAAGTTTTTCAAGTTGGATTTTTTACAGTGTAGAAAAACTTAACATAGTATATGCTGTTGTAGTTTCTCTCTAAATCTTTTGGTTTAATTTCATCCATGTAATCTAGGACGAGGCTCTGAAAAGTGTGATTACTCCCCGACTATATGTAGGTATTATGATGTAAAATTCACCATCATATCTGTTCTCTAAGGTTAAGTTTGGACAAGACAGCCTAAAAATAATAATTTCCTTTATTTCAGCTTCTTCGCAAGATGAAATATGAATATTGAGACTGCATATTAAACTCATGAGAATGGGAAGATGCCTGTTGACAAATAAAAATAGCTATAAACCCATGATAAAAGAGTCTCATGATTATTGTTGCTCAAAGAAATATTTGTATGCATTATTTTTCTTTATTTAATTGTTTTAATTTATTTAATTTTATTTAATTTTAATCTGGTCTAGATTAACTTGTGCACACTTTGAATTTTTTGTAGTTATAAGTGAGAAACGAGTATCACATGTAAATGAAACCACTTGACCGACAGCATCAATGATTGTTTAACATGCCTTAATGCACCATTTACAATGAGAATGTTTGAACTACTGCAAAATTTAAAAACACACAGACATCAGCAATTACCCTTTTATTCTCAACACTGGTGACAATCAAAAAATAAAAATCAACCCAGAACATTAAAAAACACCGAAATATTACTCCACAAGAACAACATAAAATAAAGGCTAAGAAAGATGTAAAGAACTTTAAACTGCATAATTCATTCATGCTGCAATGCATGCTAGGAGGTTTGTACTATGCTGGCACCCAGCATGCATTGCAGCATGAATGAATTATGGATTTTTCTAGCAACCATGGTTGAGGTTCATACCCTGATTTTTGATGTCTGTGTGTCCTTAATGTAATGCTGGAGCTTGCAAGGTTTTGTGCATGAAACTAATTAAATTATTAAATTCTTGATAATTGTTGACCCTCCAAGTAAAATTGCAGTACTGACTCATACAATATCAAATAAAAGCTGTTTTTTATGATTCAACTTATAAAATACTAGAAATTGTATCAGTAATAATTCAGTACTTATACGTTTCTCTTTGCCTTTCTAGCTAGTTTCAGAAACAGTTATAACAGCTAGAGAAACATTAAAATGAAAGAGTAAAGGATTAAATGTCAAACTAAAGCAGCCTCTGATCTCCATAATGCTGAGGTCAAATAAAAAATTTTCAATAAAAATATATAAACCTCTGTTAATTATCAAATACTCTTGCAGATATGAGAGAAATAAAGACAAACTGTAATCAGTGAAGCTGCTAATGCTTTTGTTTAATGGAGTTGTTTAATCCTCTGTTTTAATTGAGTTGTTTTGTTGTAATGTTGTTACTGTATAGTTTTATTTCTTGTTCTTTGCTTCAGTGATTGTGCTTGTTAACAGCAGGTGTTCATCAGTGTCTGAATTCAGTCATTTGTGGTCATTCAAGCTGTCTAGTGGACTAACTAATCCACTAATTTAGGGACTAGTGAATGAGGGTGTGTGTTGAGATTTCAGACACTCTGATTAGTTTCTCGAAAACAAAGGTTAGATCATTTACAGTTATTTTCCATATTTTGTCCAGAAATGAGCAGTTAATCATTTAAAAGGTTTTCAGGTTTTCACTGGCCCCTATTGGCCAGTAACAATGAGCACATTATTTTTTTCCATACACCTGGTCACAACAAGTACAGCGAAAAGATGGCAACATGGCAGCAACATCAAACTATGAGGCTAAAAGAAAATTTAAAGCAGACAATTACATGTGTAAAAAACTAAGAAACTGGAAAAATAAAAATAAATAGTTGTCAGTTTGGCAAGCCATTTTTATAAAAAATAATTTAGAATTGCAATAAAATACCAGCACATTTTCCATACTGCTTTTCCATTTGCATAAAATCTTGAATGTTGCTCATTATACGTTTATTAACATTTTTAAAATGTTTAAGTTCTTGATTCATTCATTTATTTTCTTGTCCGCTTAGTCGCTTTATTATTCCGGGGTCGCCACAGCGGAATAAACCGCCAACTTATCCAGCACGTTTTTTTATGTAGCGGATGCCCTTCCAGCCGCAACCCATCTCTGGGAAACATTCTAGATACACAGATATTATTTTGCCACATTATTTAAAATATGTTGCTAAGAAATAGCTATTAACATTTTTTTTTTTGGTGGGGCCAGTGAAAATTTTGCCAGGGCAAGTAAAAATCTCAACCACTGGCCTGATCGGCCCAGTTGGAAAAATCCTTAGCAATGAACCCTATATATATATATATATATATATATATATATATATATATATATATATATATATATATATATATATATATATATGGGCTACTGTAAAGTAAATATGGTTCTATCATAAAGTTTTGAATTAAACTTTGGATTTGGATAAAACAACTTTGATATTGTGTTGATTTTTAGGCATAATAAAGATCAAATGTGAATATGAATGGATTTTCATTGAAAATTTCAAATGCATCAAGAAAATCATGAGCTAAAGGAGTTTCAAACCATGTTGAACACACAGAAACGACCTATTGTGCAAAAAGAACTTAAAGGTGCCTTTAAAAAGTTTCAAAGTACTTTTAAAAACAAAAAAGCAAACCCCCAATAGGTGGCAGCAAGAGGCCACTTTATTTGAGTAAAAATTGAGCGATTCATTCAGCCAAAGAAGCGAATAGGATGAACGGACAGTTGAATCAATCACTGAATCATCGACTCACCCGAGTCTTTATATATAACATAGTTAAAAAAAAATATTTACCATTGTCCCAAGTGTAACTACTACTGTAAGAAAATATCAGAATTCGAAACATACTTTCTGTATTATCTTTGCTTGAACTGAGCCGATCCTGTTTATATGAATTGAACCTGCTTATATATATATTAATAAAATAAAGTTATACATATTAATAAAACTTATGCAATCTGTACCTTTGAAATGAAAGTACAAAGACTGCCACCTGGTGGTGCAAAGAGAAAATGATATGAACTTTTTAGATCGCTTTAGTACAAATTTTGTATAATAGAAATGCACAATATGTGACTTAAAAGCAATAATATATTTATGCACTAATAAACATGTTTTGATAGTTAATATGCTAGTGATTTGATGCTTCTCAAAAGTTTCAGACGCCTTTACCAATATCAAAATGCTTTTGTAAACAACCAGTTATTCTTTACAATGATTAAAAAAACGGCTACTATAATAAGGAAAATCCTCTCTAAATGTAGAACCAAATACACTGATATACATAGAAATACGATGAATACTCTTGAAACATGAACGTGTAAAGCCTACCGCTCATAACAAATGTGTAAAGTTATTGCGTGTCATATTTAACAAACCGTTAACTGCTAATTTGATGTAGGCTAATTTTGCTTACATGGATAATTGAATATTAATCAGATGATGTCATTACGCTGCTATGCCGTCAGCCAATCGTTGCATCGCTGATCATGATTTCAAGGATCGATAGATCTGTCCTTCACAACACACGCAGCGATCTCAGATCAGTTCATCCAGACATTCTAATCTGATTCACGAAATTGTTTGAAGAACCAAATTAGCGAGAGATCAGTTATCAAGATTAAAAGATCCAGGATCTGCCAAACAATCTTAGATCATTTAAGCGAGGTACGAAGTACGGACCCCAGGCTGGACGATGGGGTGAATCTTCACCAAGAGGTGATCCCTCACTCCTCTCACTGGAGCAGTTGTTGAAGGTATTGAAGAAATGAATAGCAGAATAGCAAAACGCAATGTAAAGCACACAATACACACACACACACACACACACACACACACAGTCTTATTTGGGAGATTTGAGATTGTTTGAAGGGTTGAGGGTGAAAAAGATTTAAATGTGCAAATGCCTGTGAAACAGACTGAGAATCTGGCTGAGGCAAAGGCGTCAGAGGAGAACAAGCTGAAAGCGGTGATGTACCAGTCCAGCCTGTGCTACTACTCCAGCAGGTGAGCGTTCAGATACTGACAGGTTTGCTTTGAGAGAAATGTCTGAGCTGATTTTCTTGGTTCTGATATTCATGGCCATGAAGCTGCTTGGGATCCCGAGACACCACATTAGGCACTGCCCCACTAATGTGGTAACTGGGGTTTCCAAGCTCACGGTTGCTGTGAACTTGAGCTCTTGTCCTCATCAGTCAGATTGTTTGCTCAGAGTTTGACTGTCACTCCTCAATTCACAGGGCAGCGGCTCTGCTCCGCACAAGTGCATCCAGAAGAGCACAGGGAGCACAGGGATTAAACTTCGCTCCAGCAGTGCAACACACACATTAACACAGACATTAATAAAGAAAACGATCAACACATTAATATAGAAATGATAGAAAATCCCTCAATCAGCCCTTACGATCATGGCCTCCCAATCATCCCCATCCACCGAATTGGCTCTATCACTGTCTCTTCACTCCACTAATAGCTGGTGGTTGGTGAAGCACTGGCGCCGCTGTCCTGTGGCTACCGTCGCATCATCCAAGTGGATGCTGCACACTGGTGGTGGTGTGTAAGTGACCCCCCCCCTTATGATTGTAAAGCGCATTGGGTGTATAGCCATACACAATAAAGGCGCTACATAAATACACATTACATTACAGTCTTAATATTCTCTAAACCAGTGGTCTCAAACTCAATTCCTGGAGGGCTGCAGCTTTGCATAGTTTATCTCCAACCACCTTCAACTCACAGCTGCCTAAAAGACTATGGTAATCTTGAATAGCTTGATTATTTGGATCAGCTGTGTTTGATTAGGGTTGGAACTGTGAGTGCGAATGTCAAAATGGTTTGCTGGAACTTCAGAACATGATTATAGCATATCTGCCAAATGTGATTACTCACCCAAAACATTTCATTCATGCTTCAAAACTTAGTTATCATGTCAGTAATATTAATACACATTCACAGGTTACTCCTATCATAAGTAGCATCTTTTACTGTATGTATAAATTTGTTATAAACAGGTTGTTTTTGTTACAGTCACATAAATTAAGTGTTTAAATAGCTCTGCTTATATTTTTTCACCGTCTGTACACCAATATAAGTAGAGAATGTGCGTGTCCGTGATTGGGACTGTGTCAGTGTGGTAATGTGGGCTGGTGTGGCTACAGTGCCAGGGCTGAATTTTTGTCTCAGTCCACCCATGGTGTCTGCTGTCATATTTATCTAGGGATGTAACGGTATCAGAATTTCACGGTACGGTAATACCTCGGTATCAATGTCACGGTACGGTATTTATTGAATCATTTACAGGAAAAAACAAAACTTATGAAAATACTCCAAAAA